AACTAATATATAAATAATATGTAGCCCAAGAAGTAGCCAAAGCACCAAATGATATTTTTTACCTCAAACCAAAAATGTAGCCACATTTGCCGCAAATATAGCCAAATCTTGCAACGTTGGAAGAAATACTAAATAAAGCTGGAGTTGTGACTCAAAGGATTATAGACCAAATGCGGGGAAAGGAGAGAAAAGACAAAAGATGAAAAAGTGAGACGGGTTGGAAAATTAAGGGTTCATATTTGCTTAACAGAAGATCTATTTAATCTTTTTCACTACTACATCTTTTGTCTTTTCTCACCTTTCCCTCCTTTCCCAAATTTGGGTCTATAATTCTTTGAGTCACAACTCCAGCTTTATTTAGTAATCCTTCCTCATTCACACATCTCCAAGTATTTGAAAATATTTCCTTTCCACTGAAAAATAAAATATGAATAAAGGTTTACAGCTTTTCGAAACTTCTTTTTTGAGTTTATGCCGTTGAAATAAATATATAATAAAAAATTAAAACATTTGTCAGTTTTGTTTACACGTTTATTGGGCCGCATTGGAACTTGTCTTGGGCCGCATGCGGCCCGCGGGCCGCGGGTTGGACACCCCTGTTCTAAATAATATATTTATACTAGTCTAAAATGATGTAAACATTTATGACATATTTTTATAAACTAAAATATAAAGCTATGAATAACAAATAATTTACTTGAGTCATTTTTTCTCTGTTTGCCTTGGGATTTAAAGGTGCTTCTGTTAAAAGGACTGGATGTTCTTCCGGTGCAACTCTTAATTCGTTGTAAAATGTATGATGCCATATTTTTTCCATATCGTCCCAATTGTTTACTATTCCATGCTCGATGGGATATTTTAAAGTCAAAATTCCTCTTTTACTCTGAGCTTCGTCACCAACATAGCTATCTTTTTGACCCATACCAACCATTATTCCCTTTGAAAAGGTTTTATTATAATTAATTACGTTTAAAGTAAACACTCGCTTATTTTATACTTTCAAATTTTAGTTTTATTTCAAATATAAAAGCAACAAACTAATAGCACTTATATTTTTAATACGTAGATTTTATTGGAAAGTGCTTTCAAGATGTAAATCACTAATAAGAATTAGTGGTCAAACTGATTCAAATTCAAAAATTTCTAAACACGTTTAAACAGCATTCTCATTTTAAAACTAATCTAAATTAACTATTTTATATTTCTGAAGCATACACGGCTTGATTAAATCAAAAATATGCTTCTAGGATTTTGCAAAAACAATTAATCTGGGTTTTTAGTGTAAATTTAAATATCGTACTTAAAACTTTTCTTAATTCTTGGAAAAAAGGTTAAATCTGAATTATTTTGTAAGGATGATATTAAATTTGATTAGTCAAACAATTATTACTCTAATTTAAAGACCTATCATAAGCTATAAACAGTAATACAGTAATATTAGTATCGTAAATGGAGTTACAGATTCAAATACCCATGCCATACCCTGCCTGATAGTAGATAGAAGTCGAAAAATGAAAGAAAAAAAAACGAGGAAAAGTCAGAATTTAACCGATCACACACCTTTTCGTTATTATTCTATAAAGCCCAAAAGTACAATTCATGTTACTTTTGAAGCAATAAAAACAATATTATCTTATATTGTTTTGGTATTTGTATGTCACAATATCTTTCAAAAATTATGTTTTTCTGATTAAACACAGGTTTGTATTCTTATTTCTAATCAAGTACCGTCCGCTTTAGCTACTTTTCTTTTACGGAAGACCAACGTTAGTACTAGAAATCCGAAGACAATTTTTACTTTTAAGGAAATAGGAGAGAAAAAAAATAGCGTTTATCGGTTATTTTGCAGCGAGCACTTTTAAACCTGGCTGGTGGTATACCTGGCAGGTTTACCGGTACGTGTGTACAGTACTCTGTTTTAGAGGCAGGGTTCATCCCGAATAGCGAGAGGCACCTCCAAGCTTTTTCTCCTGAAACTATTAAGCATCAAGCGTCATAGCTTTAAACTCTGAGCATCTCTGTTTAATCTCGATTTATTACGTTATCAGACATTAAAATTTCAAGATTTAAAACATTAAAAAAATTATTTGAATTTTAAAATTTGATGTCAAAAAATTAATAATAAAGTTTAAAACTTTGAAAGCATCTTTCATTGAACAGAAAGTAGAAAATATGTTATTCAAATATAAACCTACCTGATGACGTGGTCGTCCAACTATTGAAGGAAAAACAGCTCGGGGAGCATCATCACCCGCGAATCCAGCTTTACATATTCCGGAACCATTGTCTACGACAAGAGCTACAACTTCCTCTTCACACATAATTTACTCGAATAGATACTTAGAGTATTTATTATTCAGTATCGTTCAACTCTATGAAATAAACAATCGTAAATATATTTCAGAAAACACGAATAAATTAAAAATCCATCAATATAAAAACGAATACAATATTAACGTTAGAATTCATAAACCTTGTACTGTACCATAAAAAACTTAAGATGGCAGCCTGCCGCTCGGGGGGATCCGGAATCGAATCCGGACGGGTTAATTTAAAAATAGTGTTTATGATGTTGATGTAATTTTTATAAATTAGCATTTTAAACTTCTAATATAACATTTCTATAAAATGTACTTTTTTGTAGCCTACTGACATTAATTGGCTTATTTTTCTAAAATGTTTCTACGAGTTTAAAAAATTCAGTCACGAGTTGCATAAGTTTCCCGAGATTTTATTTTAAAAATAGTTTTTATATTATTAATCACAACAAATATATTTGTGTATGGCGCCATCTGTTATGAGATTTACTTATTTGACGACGACACACGATTCCTTCCATCTGGCCCTTTAATCATCAAACTTTCATTACATCAATGCTCTTAGATGCTATACACAAGCTACCATGAAAAATTTCTTTGTTACTCTTTACCGCATCCTGACATATTAAACGAAATAAACGCCAACAGGCAGAGATACGCGGAATTTTTCCCTTTCTTTGACATTTTTAAGTTTAAGAAGTCTCAAAACGTGGAGATTTGCAAAAATCTGCAAAGTCAAATTTGACAGAATTCCAATACTCGCCATTGCTATACGTACATAACGGCCGGGAAAGTCAAATTAGTAGAAAATTAAGAAATGTAAAGTTTTGAACAGTATTTTAATAGAAGAATTAAACAGGATTCTAAAGCAAGAAATTGTTTGATTCTATCTACTTCCGTCTCCGAGAATATTTGGAAAAGGATTTCCCCATATAAAAGCATTAAATTGTATCTCCATCTTCTGGAAATTGCGTGCATAACCAAACANATAAATAGTATCCGAGATAGACGGTCGGACGGGTGACACATCCGAGATAGACGACCTGCATCAAGGTGGCAGCCTACCGCTCCGGGGATCCGGGATCGAATCCAGACGGGTTGAAAAATCCCCAGGAATTTTTCAAATGCTGGTCCGTCCGGATATGTCTGGCCCAGTCAGTCACCACCCAGTCGCCCCATTATGGGTCTAACCGAACCCATAATGGGCTTGCTAAAAAGATGCCCTCTTTGTGCCCACAGGGAGGAAAGAGTTAAATAATATTACATGCTAATCTTATTCAATTTTTGTGATTATTATATAAAGTCGCTAAATACAACTATGGTTACTAGATAAACTGGTTGGGAAGCAGAGCAGAATTTTCTGCCTAGAGCCATTTTTTCTCACTAGGAGCGCTGCGGTTATAATTCGGACCAAGGTCTACAAACATAAGGTCAGGACACCAATGTTTCCTATGGAGCCGTCATTTTGGATCCGCAATTCCAAGGTCACGACTTCCAGGGGCGCCGCTAGCCCCTGGAAGTCGTGACCTTGGAACAGGGGCGCCGCTAGCTGTTTGAACGCCCGTGTGCAATACCGATTATACCGCACCCTGTTTAACTAACAAGTAAGTACGACTACCTGCGCTGAGCTTGCCAGAAAGTCTTTAGTGTTGTCTCATAAAGGTGTGAAAAAAGAAAAGAAATACTTTACAAAAAGAACTATTTATTATTACTAAGTTATTTTTATTTACTTAAGTGTAAACCATATAAATATTTATCTACAGAAATTGAACTCTTCTTGCTTTCATGTTTGCGAAATCTGCTATCAATTTTCTTGTATCCAAGATGTCTAGGATTTCATGTTCAATTGAAACTATAGCTATAAACTAAATTACTTAGTCTTTGCTGGTGCATTGTTGATCTTAAATAAATAAATTAATTAAATAGTTTTTATAATTTTTAACTTTGAAAAAGACCTTTCACCAAATGCAACTGAAACTGGCAATGTAAGTAATATTCTTAGTGCTATTGCTGTGTTTGGAACTGTTGAAATTAAGTCATTAGTAAAAAGATATTGTAATGGGGTTTGTGGATCATTAGACTGGTTTTCTGGAAAATGCAACTTTAAAGTATTGATTTCATTAAACAAATCAATACTGTCAATGTCTGTTTCACTACTTGAATCGTCTTTAAGCTTCAGATTTAAATCCTAACCAAGTTAAAATATCATTAATTATACTTCGACCCATGTCAGAAGAATTATTAACAAAATAATTGCAATTTGATATGCAATAGAACTGTTCGAATGCGTACAAGTACAAATTGAGAAGGAAGCTCTGTAGGGATTCCCTATTTTCGCCAAACCTGTCAACTTCTGTCATACAGCACGACTATTGGTACTTGGCTTTCGGGTGCCCGCCAGATGGTTCAACCTGCCGACAGACGTTTCGCATTGCATCTTAATTCTGATAAATGCCAATAGAGGCGCTGTTAACGCTATAATATAAATAAGAATATAGTAATTGCGCGCCAGTCGGATTTTTTTCTCCATGCGAAGACATTTCTTATGCTATAAGTAGGGTGGGTATTATGACAATGACTAATTATTACGTGACCGATCGCTCGATTTGCCGCCCCCTGGACGTGCCGCCCGTGTGCGGTGCACGCCTTGCACGCCCGCTTACGGCGGCCCTGACGACTTCATGCTATGTGCTGTAAACTGCACGAGTTTGAGCCACTGAAATTTCAAATATAAAAGGAATGTGATAAATATATTGTTCTAAACCTAAAAAAGCAATTTGTAATGTCCTAAAAATATTTGTTAAACCAAAGCTGCACTAATTTGGAGGTAATTCTCTTTCTCTAAGTGTTTTTCTTCTTAATTGCAGACGGAGTAAAAGATTTGAAACATCAAAAAGGGTCGGAATTGCATTCCATTTCAATAATTTCTTTCATTCGCTCTTTTTAAGTGCAAATTGTGACTTCTGAAAGTGTATCTATTAAATTTAGTTACATTATATTACAAAGTTATAAACACTTCGTAAATTTATAATTTCAGCATTATTTTATCCACTGACATTACACAGTCTCAAACTCTCAGTTGGTTTCCATTAATTAATCTCTTCTGCAATATCGATGCCATTTTATCTCTCTTCTAGAAATATCGTACACATAACCTCAAAAGGATCCAAAATGGCGACTGCCGCGATGCATCACAATACTGTATCGTGTTTATACACCTTGTCCTGGCTACCCACATTTTAATATATAATATTTGACAGTATTTAATTAAATCTTAAAATTTAGATAATTCATTTAGTTCTATTTAGCCAATTACTATTTAATTTAAGACTTTTAAGTTTTTTCAGTTTATTTGATATTTATAATATTTAAAAAAAGTGTCACAGTCGTCATTTTAAAACAAAGCGATATAAGAAAAGATTTAAAATTAGATTTTTAAAAAAATTTCTAAGTATGTAAAAGAAAGATACAATTTTTAATGTAATCGTTTTTAATTCATAGAATTTAAAGTCTAAAACTTTAGTAAGATCGATAAATTGGGAATGGAGCAATGTAATGGAATTTCATCAAACATTGTGAAATTTTATTTTTACGTTTATGTTACGATTTTTCTCTAATGGAAAATAACGTTTCAAGTGAAATATAAGACAGAAATATATTTTCATATTTTTTTTTTTTTTCATAG